CATGCATTTTTCATTACCAATTTGCCTTAGATTATAGTATTAATATTTAATTTCTTTAGTATTTGAAGAACAAAGTATGAAATTTATGAATACTTACTAATTTTTCTTGTATCTTCCATAGAGGATTCTTCTTTGATTGAGATAAAGTTGTTAAATTATTCTTTAATGAAACTCAGTTGGTGCTTTATTTATTTATTTCTGTCACTTTCTCATTTGCAATGGAAATACCTTAATTCTTTTGAATGATATCTCTGAATATTCTGATAATTTTCCCATATGTAATTCCTTGTAATATTATACCCTATAAATATTACTAACGTTGGAGATTAATGCTTCTAAATTATAATCAATCGATGCTAAGCTATTATATTATAAGTCTTTTATTATTTTTATAGATTTAAATATCTATCAATTAATGTTACTAATGTATTTTTGCTACTCCATTTATTAGCAAAATTACATACAGTTACTTTGATTTATATAGTGACAATAATTTTAAACCTATCATATATATTTTTTAAAACTTTATTCCTTCACCAATTATTTTTAATCAATTCTTACTTTTGTTTACCAGCATCAACTTAGATTACTTTTAGATCCTGAAAAGAGATAGTAAACCCCAAAATTATAGATTAATTTTTGAAAAACTTGAATATCATTGATCTACCAATAATTTCTATATTTAATGTGTACTTGTTATAAAATTTAAACTTTTAGAGTTTTTTTGCGATTTTTAAATTTTAAAGAAGTTTTTTGTTGTAATTTTTGTAACTTTAAGGTTAATTTTGATAAATTTTAAATTTTTAGGTGCATGAAGGTAATCTCTTGAATTTTCTTTTGTTGTTTGTAAATTTTAAAAATTTAGAATTTTATGGTGGTTTTTTATAATTTGAACTTTTAAGTGTGTTTCTATAATTTTTGAGACATTGAGGGTATTAATTGAAAATTTTTAATTCTTCAGAGGTTGCTATTAATTTCTTAATTTTATGTTTGTTGTTCTAAGTTTGAAATGTTAAAAAAAATTTAGATGCATCATGGTAATCCCTTAAATTCATTTATGTTGTTTGAAAGTTTTAAAATTTTAGAATTTTAGGATGCTTATTTGTAATTTAAACTTTTGAGAGTGTTTATATAATTTTTGAGACATTCAAGTGTTAACTGCAAATTTTAAATTCTTCATAGTAGTTGTTAATTTCTTGATTAATGTTTGTTGTTTTAAGTTTTGAAACGTCAGAATATTTTTTATAATTTTAAACTTTTTAGGGTATTTTATGCAATTTTAAAACTTTCTAGATTTTTTTTGTAACATTTCATGTATTAGATAGTATATTAGCTATGTATAATTTTTTTATCTTAACAAACTAATACTGTAAAGCTGTTTTATATATTTTATTAATATTTTTTTTTAAATTGTTGAGCTATAATTAGTTCACGTTGGATTAGGATATAATATAATTATAATTAGGATAGATTAAGATATTAATAAAATATTGAAGGGTAATATTGATCATGAAAAGATTTTTCCGAACTCATACTTTTAAAGCGAGTATGATATTTTAATTTCAAGGGTGTTTTTGTCTACCGAAAGATTTTCTCGAACCCGTGCTTTTAAATGGAGTATGATTTGATTCACTAAAATTTATGGGTGGAAAAGGAATTATAGGGTAAACAATGATACTTTTGGCATAATGAGATTCAATATCCTTTGATTGTTTCAAAAAAACAAAAAGATAAGGTTTCTTCAAAAGCCAAAAAGCAACTAATTTTTTAGGATATTCAAACCCCACCTTTTGGAGAGGATACGGGTGGATATCTATCTAAACCCCATCCATCTTAGATCCCACTCAATTTCTGATAGGCAATAAACAAGAAAAATTGACATGTGCATTGCCGTGACATTTGTGTGAAGAAGCCAAAAAATAATGGTTAAGATTTTTCTTAGATACTTCTTTTTTAATTTGTCTATAAATATTTTTTTGAGAGTTATAATATACATAAATTACTTATTTTCAAATAAATCCCTTAACTCGTTGAATTTGTTATTAGGTCTCACAATTTTTGTAATCTTTTTAAAATTAATAACTCCAGTTATTACTTATACTCTTTATTAGAGGGACTCATTTCAAAATATTTAAGAACTGAAGGATCTAATAGCACTTTTAATTATTTGAGCGGTCAAGTTGTAAATGAGTTAAGAATCGACAAGACATGATAGCTCTTTTCATGAATTGAGGGATTTTTTTTTCCAAAATAAATGAGATAAACTTTGAGTCTATTAGTTAAAATAAAAAAATTAATTTTTAAGTAGATAGGCTCCAAAATCATTGAAATTGCTATTGTGTTCTTGCATTCCAAAATTATTTTAAAATTAGTCCCTCAAGTTAAAAGAAATGTTATTAGGTACTCTAATTCTCACAATCTTTTTTAAATTAATCTCTCTAGTTGTTGCTTCTACTTTTTATTAAAAGGAGTAATTTCAAAATAACTTTTTAAGAATTAAGGAACCTAATATCAATTTTAATGATTTGCGAGATCAATTTCTAATTAACTTAAGAATTGCATAACTTAATAACAATTATCATGAAAGATGTAAATGACTAATAAAATTAATAGAGATGCTATTACGTCCTCTAAATATCATAATTTTTGTAAGTTAATCTCTTTAATTGTTGCATCTACTTTTTATTGAATAGAAAAATTTCAAAATATTTTTTTAAGAATTAAGGAACCTAATAGCAATTTTAATGATTTAAGGGATTAATTTCTAATTAACTTAAGAATTGTAAGGCTTAATAACAATTTTCATGATTTGAGGGATTAGTTTCAAAATATGAAAGATTTAAAGGACTCTTATTGAAAATAATTTTTTAAGTAAAGGTAAGAAAATAAACGGGAAAGTTTTGAGGGAATCCAACCTTGGACCTAGATTAATTTCTAATCAACTTAATAATGGTAAGATTTAATAACAATTTTCATGATTTGAGGATTTAATTTCAGAATGTGAAAGATGTAAAGGACTCATATTAAAAAGAGTTTTTGAAGTAAAGATGAAAAAAAACTAAATGAGACGAGTTCGGGGAATCCAGCTTAGGAGCTAGTGAATTCATAGAGAAAAACTGTACTAACTAAGCTACTTAACGTTTATGATGGATTATCTGTATTATTATATATATATTAAACAATTTACTGTAGCTTTGAAAAGACTTTCTACAGTTGTGGATCCAAAAACTTTAGTATATATATAAATATTTCTATAATTTATTTCTACAATTTTGATATCCTAATTCTTGAGTTTGAACCAAAGACTAGAGATTACAAATTCTAGAAATTGCTTTCCTAGAATATCATTGAACCAAACACCAGGGGCTGTTTATTTCCTTGTATTTTACGACTTTGCATTGAAAAAATGGGACCCACAAGATCAAAATCTTAAATTTTAACTCAATACACTATTTGGTTAGCATTTTTTATCATAAAATTAGAGCTGCCACGTAGGATTAATGCCTCAATTCTGATTCCCTAAAAATATACTCATTTTCGCTCTGATTTTTAGGGGTTGTTTGGTTTTTAGATTAGTTTTGATGTGTGTCATGAATCTAAAAAAATCCATATTTATAATCTTATTTGTTTGCATGCATATTGAAGAGGATTTGATGAATGAAAAATCTAAGCAAAAATTCTTGTTTGGTTTAACATGAATTTGTTGAGGATAATATGGTATATTATAACTTCTTTTCCTTTTAAGATAAGTATCAGTAAAAATCAGAGTGAAATCAACATATTTTTAGGGAATTAGAATTGATGTATTAATCCTATGCGGTAACTCTAATTTTATGATAAAGAAATATTGACAAAACAATGTATTTAGTTAAAGCTCAAGATTACTTGTAGGTCCTATTTTTTTTTAATGCAAAGTTGCAATATTTGAGGAAACAAACAACTCCTTACCAAAGCTTATCTAAAAAGGAAAAATGAGTGATATTATATTATTATCAAAAAAATCATGTTCAACCAAATAAGAACTTTTTGCTTAGATTTGTCATTCATCAAATCAGCTTCAATGTGCATGCAAGCAAAAATGATTATGAATAAGAATCTTTTTAGATCCGTGACATGCATCAAAACTAACCCGTGAACCAAATAGTCCCCAAGTTAGAAATTCCAATACATATATACAAAGCTAGAGATTTGTTTTCTTGATGAAGAATCCATATTGTTAGATCACTAAACTTCCTGACTGGTGCACTAATACGAAATTGATATTCTTTAGAATTTAATATCATAGTGCGCATACTATTTGATATACTGAAGTCGACATGATACATTCTCCCAATAAACATGTATTTTTCGAGTTTGTTTTCCTAGTAGCCAACGCGCAGTAAGTGCCTTTTTCCGGACCCATCAAAATATCCTTTCACAAAATATACTAGTGTTTTTATTCTATAGTAATATTGCTATATTAATTTATTGTAACATGAATAGTGTATCTTTGGATCCTCTTATAAATATATACTAGTTTGCTGTCCGTGCAAAACACGGGTTTTTTTGCTACAGTAATCCCTCTTCTTTAACGCGCCCTGATTTGAATTTTCTGGGAATGCTACAGTATCCCGCCTACTACAGTACCATTTTAAAATGCTACAGTATACCCATGAGCTACAGTAACATTTTTATTAATTATTTGCTATAATGCTACAGTAAATCTACTGTAGCATTTACTGTATCATGAACAGTGACTCTCTGGTTCTCCCTTTTGTATAAAGGAATAGACTAGTGGGCGACCCGTGCAAAACACAACCTTTTTTTGTTTCGTTATAATAATTCTTTTTTTCCTGATGCTACAGCAACTTTTGTAAATGCTATAGTAATTTTTATAACGCTACGTTAACCTGTTTATGCGACGGTATATACTATAACATTTATAACATTTACTGTGGTGTGAAACAGTGAACGTTAGATACTCATAGATTTAGGAGCAGATAGGAGTAGATAAAATCAAACTAAAAATATAAAAATATAAATATAAAAATCTTCCCTCTTCCCCGTCCATCTACGTTTCCCAGTTCCTCTTCTCCCTAAAACGCTCACCGTCTCTTATTAAAATCCTGACAACGACCAAGAAACCGACCCCTCACTCTTTCTCTCTTTACCCGTTTACTCAAAACCCTAATTGACTCGATTCGATTCGATTCGATTCGATCCGATTCCATGGCCGTAGTGCTTGGATCATCGCCGAAGGAGGAGTCAGAATCTGCCTTCGAGACCTCCTCCGTCCACTCCGGCGATACCTCCGGTCTTAGGGATGCCGATATCATGGTAATTTTTTTGAATTCATTTTGTGCTAGTTTGGGGTTTCGTGATTGATTGTTAATTTCTGATACAGACGGAGGTTTTAATGTCGAGGAGCGAGGAGTATCGGTTGCTCTTCCGGCTCCCGAAGGATGAGGTGAGATGAGTTTTTGATTGAGTTTCAGTTTTAGATTTTGGAAACTTTCTATTTGAGGATCAGACTTCAATTTGTATTGTAAAGGTGTTTTTTTTTTCTTTTTTTTTTCCTGTTGTAATTTTGTAATTTTGTAATGCATGCGTGATTCGAAACTTGCATGAATGAATGATTATCTGGCGCAGAATACATCACATAGCACTTCCTCATGTTAGAAGTATCAAATATACAGTTTTACTGACTATAATGATTATCTGGCACAAAATATTAATTACAAAGTGTCCGCGTTTGGCACTTATATACCATGAGTTGTTTTTTTGGCAACTAAGTACCATACATTATAATTGGCACATCAGTACCCTCCATCATGCAAATGCAAAAAAATTCCCCCCAAATGTTTTTGTATGATACTTACATGCTAATTTTAATGATTTTTAATTTGAACATATCTCAACTTTATTTTAAAGTTGAATTAAGATAAGTTTAAAAAAAATGGTATTCAATATTAAATTTAACAAATATTAATAGTTAAAAAGCTCTAAAATTAGTATGTAAATATCATAGAGAAACACTAGGATGAAAATTTTCACGTTTGCATGATTGAGGGTACTAACATGCCAATTTTAAATGACTTATCGTATTTATTTGCCACAAAAAACACCTCATGGTATATAAGCATGAAAGCAGGGAAACATTATGGTATTTAAGTGCCGTTATTGGACTGCCTGTGTGAAAAAATATAGAATTCTAAATCACAACGTAGGATTGATTGGATTCAGATCCAACTTAATTTGTAAATTCATTTATGTTATTTTCTCATTTTCTTAATAAGAAATTACAACCTTTCTAAATAACTTATCCACATTAGTTGAAAATGCACATGGTAAAAATTCAATATAGTGTATGTTTGACCATTGTAGTGTAAGAAATCCATGTTTTAGATGAAAAACATTAAAAGATGTCTGATAGCATTTTATTTTTCTTTTGACAAGGAACACAGGTAGCTTCCTACTTATGATGAACCATACCTAGGGGTAATTTATACTGCTTACTTTGATATGCACATTAAAAAAAAATATGTGGAAGATGATGTGTTTGAAAGCCTCTAAACCTGTGCATCAAATGGTCTTCTTAGAAAACCATTTATTTCTATGGCGATATTAGATTCATGTGTGAGATATCTTCAAAAAAGAACTTCTTAAGCATATATGTCTTAAGTATGGAGTAAAGTGAAGTACCACACCTCCATTCGCATGTCTTTGTGCATAAATACATATGTAAGGCACACTTCTGCATGTGTGGATGGTGAACGTGCAATGGATTTATCACTGATAAAAATTGGGATGGAATCACCATTTGTTGGGACGATATCAGATCCGGTGGTAAAAATGTTGGAGAAGAGTGAAGAATGTCATCTTAGAAGGAGCAATAGTTTAGTCTATATGTTCACACATTCACACATACACAATATTCATATGTATACAATTACATATCATATGCATATCTTCAATAGAAGTGCTGAAAACATGCATCATTTTCTTTGAAATTTTGGAGATCATATTGAAGACTAAAGCGTGCTGTGTATGATCTGTTTTATTTGCATCAGCCACTTTGGTTAAGTTCCTCCTTTCATAATGGCGGAAATGTCACATTCTTTTGACAGTAGTTTTGCATGAATGATTGTTGACAGGATAAAGTGGTAAAAAAAAAGAGGGACAGATTTATCATATCTCAGAGATTGCTATGTCAAGGAGAATTCCCTTTTTATAATGCTTCAGCAAACATAAACTTATTCGTATTTCATGTAAAGTTCATAATTAAATCTTATAAACTCCTTAAGTCCACCTTTCATTGTGAGAAAGCACCTTCACGCTCGCTTATCCCCCCCCCCCCCTTCCCCCACCCTTTCTCCTTTCTCCTCCTCCTTTCTGCTTCTGGTTAACATACAGGACTCTTCCATTGATGGTTCACACTTCACAGTCAATCAGCTGTGAGCGAAAATTGATGATTAAAATAGGTTGTGGTGTAGGACTCTTTATTATTATAAGGTGCTGTTTTGTTATCCTTTAGTGACACGATTACAAGTTTACAACTTTTTTCCCTCCAATTTATTTATGTATATTCAAATTCACTGATCAAATTTATCTTCTAAATAGGTCCTTGTTCAGGATTTCAACTGTGCTTTCCAAGAGAATATTCTCCTTCAGGTACTTGTATGTATTTGACACTACTGCAAGGAATGGGTTGGCATTAAACTTTGTTTTAATTTTTTAAAAATATCTATAACAACACATAGCCTGATTTTTTCTAACCTCCGTTACAGGTCTATTACTTTTGGAAATAAATATTAAATGGGAAATACTGTGATGAATTCTTGTGTACTTTAATAGAAGAAAGTTCATGTCCTATTCAGTATGATGTTTATCTATTTCTTGCTGTATTAATATTATTTTCCTATATCTGTCTTTTTTGCAGGGTCACATGTATTTGTTTATTCATCATATCTGTTTCTATTCAAATATTTTTGGATTCGAGACAAAGGTATTTGAATGTTTTGTGCAGCTTTATATTTCGTCTAATGCAATCAAACCAATAGCACAGATCTGCATGATATTTTTTTTTCTCTTAATGCTAAATGGTAGTTGTAGTTGTTTTTCTTTTTGTTAAATTTTAATATCTTCTAATATATCTTGATAAGTTAATCGGTTTTTGTGCTTATTATTTTGAATTAATAACCATGACATTTTGAGTTTTAGAAGTACATAACTCATGCATTTAATGAAGTTCAGTGATTGTGAAAATGAGAGATTTTCTGTAAGGTTTTTATACTATCTGTACTAGATTATGGACGCTTTTTATACCCATATGATGAATTTGACTTCTGCATATATGAAAAATAATGGAATTACTAATGTATATGTAGGATGAATTATTCAAGGTACTTGTAGATGTGTTACAAGTATATATTGTTGGTAAGTCCTGTGGTTATTTCATAATAGTTGTATAAAACAATTTGAATTTGAATGGACTAAAAATTGTTGTTTTCATTATTATTATTATTATGTATTTTCAGGCTTTCATTAGTTTTCAAATGATTTTTATATCTTTCCAGAATTCTCTTAATTTCTCCTGGATCCTGAACTTTTGGTGTTACCTAATCATTCTCAAATATTAAACATGTGATTGTGCATGCAAAAAATGATAAATAAAACCTAAATAGTCAGTAAATGTATTATGCCAAATCACAGTAGAAGTTTGATTTGCATGGAAAGAACTTGCTCCGTAGTGTTACATAAACAGTAGTACACTTGGATCATTTCTTTGGGCGCATTGAAAGACAATGTTTGTCACTGGGGGGAAGAGTGCATATATGTTATGTTAGGGAGAATTTTTTTTTACAATTAAAGTTCGAGGGGCATAAGGCTTATATGTTTCTCATAAGGATGTTAGTCCAGTAGTTGTTCTTTGATGACATATTATCACAAATTTATATATTGGATGTGCATGCAATTTCATGTGCTTGAAACTTTTTTTCTTTTGCTTTTGAAGGAATTTTCATCAATATGTACTCTGGTTACAAGAAGACATCAGAACTCTTGTGAATATGGAAAAGTCAGCAGTAAGATAATTATAAACTTTCCAATAGTTGGGTGAACTGGATGGTGAAATACCGTGTATGGATGTCTGTGGTAGATTAGGTGAACCCGACAAGGATCAGATCCCAGGATACATGTGGACAGGTATTAAGCATTATGTATGGAGAATGGATTTATACGCAAAAATTTCCTTAAGGATGGCGCGTATGGGAGGATATCATCTGCAGTTTGATAACTGCTTTTGACTATAGCATGACCACTCAATGAAATGAGTGAAACGACTGATTCTATTGGAAGATCACTTTTTCACTTGATTGCAAGAAGCAAATCATATGAAACAGGGTTCGAAGCAAGAAACATGGCAGTTCTTCTTCTCGTGTAGATGAATTACAAGAGATGCCCACTGGCTGGACTATTTGGAAGCAACGATCAGAGGGCTAATGACTGCCTAGTACCATAAGGTCAAAGAAGTTGTGATGATTGGTCTTTGTAATTATTTTGACTGTTTCTGTTGTAGAAGGACATGATCCCATTGCTAGTCCAGCATACAGGACTTTTACCTTATGCATAGAATAATAGAAATATAAATGAAGTTTGAATTTTTTTACTTCAGTATTTAAGAATTCCTTGAATAGTTGGTTAACTTGGACAATCATCCTTCAGAGCAAACATTAGCTGGATTCTGCATTATGAGTTCAACTCATAATGGCATAGTAATCTTTGGATCATATTTCTTCTTTACATGCTATTCTACTTGTCTTTCGACAAATTTTACTATGGTTTGAAAATTATTGGTTGATTTCAGAAGATTTTCATAGGCGGTCTTGTTCGATTTAATTTTTTAAAAAGTAGTATGATGCTTATTACTTATTGTTACTTATCTCTTATATTTCTATTTGGCAAGTTAGCTTACTTATGAGTAGTTTGTATGTATATCTAATGATTTAGCAACTCAAAATGCAGAAAACAATTGCTTTTCATGAGGTTACTTATGTCCGAAAAGCAAAGACTGCTGCAATTTTCCCTAATGCCATTGAGATTATTACTGGGGATAAAAAGGTACCTGATCTTTTCTTTCTTTCTTTCTTTCTTTTTTTTCCCTTTGTGTTCTAGACTTTTGTTTTAGGCTTTAAGCTGTATATATTCTCTTCTGAAGCAACTAACCACAGCTTCATGTTTCTGTACTGGTTTTGCATCTTTTTTTATTGGTAGCACTTCTTTGGTTCCTTCTTGTCTCGTGATGAAGCCTACAGACTCATTGTGGATGGTTGGGCACAACATAATGATGATTCCAGGGCCCTTTTGGATCATCAGGTGAGCAACCTCTTTAGTTGAGCTAAAAATTTTTACTGCTTATCATATAAAAATGGTATTTTGTGGTTTATATTTTGAATACCAATTATAAATAGTTTATCAGAACTATTTCCTAATGGTTGCCAATTTGGTGCAGTAGTAGGTTGAAGGGCATAACCTACATCTCTTTCTACATGCCATAGATGTGGAGTCATAATATTAAATTGTCCTTACATAAATACTTTTAAATTGTTAATGGATAAATATTTTTTGTCTTTCTACAACAACCGTTGACGCCAAGTCCTATAATCTCATAGTTACCAAGCCATAAATGAGTCCCTTTATGCACAAATGTTTTTTATTTTAGATAATTTCATGATTTTTTTTGGGCTAGGGAGATTTATTATGTGATATTACTAATAGAAAAAAAATTCTCCCTCAATAGAAATGGGATCACAAATCTTTTCTATTTGCTTGCCTTCTATAAGAATATCCTCAGGTTTTCTATGTCCAGTTTAATGGGCTTCGAAATACACAAGGGCTATGATCTGAACTGATCATATCTATACCGCCTATTGCTGAAAGCTGTCATCTTTACCTTTTAACTTTTATATCTTTCAGAAAGACTTTTTAGTATGTGATATTCTAGGCATATGTTTTCTATGTGCTTAGCAAGCCTGTAGAAGGATCTTTGCTCTCTCAGATGCCAGTATCTACTTTGTTTGCATTGCTAGTTAGTAACTATATTCTACGGTATTAACTGTTAAAATCATTAACTATTGCAAGCAGTTATGTTGACTTGCTTTATACTTCAGGAGTCGAAATCAGAAAACAACCAAGACAATGACATTGTTGTTGTGGAAAGAGTAACAGGATCAACAGAGTTCATAGATGCTTCGTCATCTGCAGAGAGGTATTTCCTAGAGAAAAATTTACTGGGAAGTGGCTAATATTATCACTAATATTAATCTGAACCGTATTTCATCCAGGACAAAGGATGCTAATGCTTCAGAAAAATGCAAACTTTTATTAAATGGTAACAGTGAAAGCAAAGCATCAGAAAATTTTCAAGAAAACCAGGAGAACGGAAAGCATGCAAATTCTGATAATCCACCTTCTAGCGAGCCTTCTATTTGCGAGGAACTTGATGCTCCTGAAAGTTAGTTATATGTGGCTTTTTTAATCCATATATGTACTTTAACTTTTGGGTTACTATATATATAATTGTCTCTGTTCTTGTGACTTCTTATATTCGTTGCCTCAGTAACAGCTTTCCTCATTGATATTTGATTTTTCTATTTTGCAGTACCCGAGAATTTTACATTGGTTATAGAGGCTAAGTTTCCGGTAATTCAGACTCTGCATCTATGTTTCTCTTGATTACTTTTAGTTATTTTCAATAATCATGGCATTGCAAACCCAGTCTTTATATGTGGTTGCTCTTAGTGATTGAGTTCCAATTATTTCTGTTTGGTTGGAACCTGTTTGGAATCTTAATTTTGCTGTTCTTGAACCATGTAATAACATGCTACTTCTGTGAGAAATCCTGGAACTGTTAGTCAGACCTTTTGTAACTGAAATACAATTCAGAAGAAAATTTTGAATTAGAATTATGACTACAATTGAAAATTCACGAGTGCAAAAGAATCAAAGAAAAATGATTTCTCTCATACCCACCTACTCCATCTGGATTTGTAGTTACATTAGCCATATGGACCCTTGTTAAAACTCTTATTGTCATTATTGCTTAATGAATCTTTTCTTATTCAAATATTATGGTTTATAGGTCACCGTAGAGGAGTTCTTCACTCTTTTCATCTCTGATAATGCTTCTAACTTCCTGGAAAATGTTCACCAAAGGTGTGGGGACAAAGGTAAACTTGCATGGAGGCTTGGCACACAAATTTTACTTTTTCAATCTTTTTGGTGCATAATGTTCCTCCTTCAGGATTTTTTTTTCATTTAACTAAAATTATTTTTCTCTATCTTCTAGATTTTCTGTCTACTCCATGGCGTCCACACGAAAAATTTGGGCATGCACGTGATTTATCCTTTCTTCACCCAGTCAACGTATATATTGGTACACTTAGATCTTCACTACCTAATAGATTGAATTTGTAGTGCTGAAGTTCCAAATGAGGCTTGTGCATTTTGCCTTGTTTCCATATTCTTATATCTTTTATATTGATAGCTCTTAATTTTGTTCAAGGTGCAAAGTTTGGTCGTTGTCAGGAGGTCCAGAAATATCGTGTTTTTAAGAACAGGTGATCCCTCAGCAGCTCAGCTTCTTTACTGTTGTCCGGAACATCTTTTAATACACTGCCATGTAAAAGGCAATTCTATGGCCTTAAAATGCTGAAATGATAGACGTCCTGCAGCTTGTCACAAATCACTATTTGAGATAAATGTGTTCACACTAATTACTGCTTTCCATCAAAAGGTTAAATTTTCTTTAATCTCATTCCATGGGGCATAGATGGCATCCATTTAATTATTATGTTCTGGAGCGTTGCTGAGTGTCTACAACATGAAGGAAAACGAAAAGTCTTAAGGGCCAGTTTGGTATTGCTGCTTGTGCTTATTTGCCTAAGAAGCAATGGTGTTTGGTAGAATTTTTTTTGCATGCTTATTGAAACTGCTTTTTCTTTTAAAGGGGGGCACTTTTAGAAGCAAAATTTTTGTAGTTTTTATACCATATATGCCATTTAGCTTTTGACAATACTATTTTCATAGCTAAAATTATGTCTATTTTGGTCATTTTGACTTATATTGATCTTTAAAAACGGTTTTACCAAACACCTGCTTTTGGAAGCAACTTATGATATATGACTACCAAACGACTATTTTCAGCAGCTTATATAAGTTGCTTTTATAAGCTGCCTGTATAAGCACTATCATAAGCTCTAGCAAAACCAGATTAGCCCTCAGTGATATGAGATAGGGAAGACCATCTCATTGATCAGACAATTAAGAAGTAAAGCTACGTAGTTGTCAAGGAGAATTCAAGGTCTTCCTGCATTGAAAAGGATGAGAAGATTTTCTGAAGGAATTGTATCTATTTCTATGCCTCCATGTCATCGCATGAATGTGATCTTCTGATTTGACGTGTCCCCAAACTTTATTTATGTTGCCTCTGCGAAGTTGTTGAGACTGCAGTTATAAGTAATCACTAGATTGCGCCAAAGAGAATGTGTAGCTTGCCACTTGTGTGAGAAAAGAGAGTCTATAAGCCTTCAGCTTTATATCAGTATGTGATTCTAAAGTTTAAAAGTTTAAACAATATATCTTACCTTCTAAAAAGAATGGAACTGATTTTTACATATGAAGTTTGAGTTTGACCATTTGTTTTGGCAATTGTTAAGAGTTTTCCTTTATTTCTTTTCCTGTCTGTATAAGTGGCTTGTGTGCATTCCACTGTGTAATCCTTTGAGACTGTGCATATGGATGACAAACGTTTTCTATGCATGCAAATGTAGTTTGGCTTTCTTTTATACTGTTCCATATCTTATGCTTATTATTCCTTTAACAAATACCTGTTTGACGAACATTTTCTGTGGAATTGATACGTTTTCATTGTCCAGCCATTTAGTGATTGAGACATCTCAACAAGTCAGTGATGTGCCTTTTGCGGATTACTTTCATGTCAAGGTATGATCTTCAATCATGCATTTATTCTTTTGCAATCTAGTATTTCCTTTTAACTTTTAAGCATTTGCTGCTTGTTTTTTAATGTTCGAAACCAAGTCTGCAAATATTCTGTCCATAGCGAGATGACCCTTGGTAGTTCACAGGGGCGGATCCACATGCAATTGCACCCCTAACAATACGCAAAACTTCTTTATTTAACCTTATAAGTTACAATTTTGCCACAAGAATTTAAAACTATTTGCACCCATTTGAATTTTAATCCATTTAGGTTGGATTTTTAGCCTATACGTCAAGGATATTGTTTTATCATATTATATTTTAATGTTTGGTAATATATATTCGTCATCCGCCCCCACGTTTTTCTGGATCTGCCACTGGTAGTTCATGCAGGTTGTACCCTGAAGTTTGCGAAACAGCTGCCAATTTATTAAAGCTTTTGAATCCTTAGGAAGTGTAATGCTATTTTGCTTGGAGTGTATCCGGAGATATTATTTTGAATTCTGCTTGGGGTGCAAGATCTAGGTTAGGTCCATCAGACATCTCTGAAATTATGGTCCTGCATTTATAAGATAATGAGTTCTTATGTTATATAGAAACCCTAAAGCTTATTCCAGAGCACAAGCTGCCGTCATAATCTTAGGGAATAAGCCGTCATAATCTTACGGAATAAGAAGGGTGACAATTGACAACTTTTTGATCTTAGAAACAAAACACATACAGTTGATGCAGAAGTTAAGAAGGCTCTGAAGATTTGGATCTCATTATTTGTCAACTTTGCCTGGAATTTAGATGCACAATTTACTGATATATGTGTTGTATTCAGAAAAAGTGACTTGATCCTAGAGAGATACAGTCGACTTATAGTAAGGCAAAGAGAAGTCATTACATTAATTAACAATGTGGGACTGAACTAATACTACTCTAAACTACTCATGATATACATTTTTCAGGCAGAGCTTAGACATCTATCATGCCCAGCTTGTACATAAAAGTGAAAAACTCTTCTAGCTAAAGCCTTGGTGAAAATATTGTTCAGCTAACACCTAAACAAACATAGCATGTGACAAAAAATTTTGTTTTGCACCATATGAAGAATAAAGTGACAATAACTTCAATATGCTTCTTGGCAATCTAGATAATTTCTTGTTATCACAGTGCATCACTTTTGATAGATAAAAAAGCACACCCTTCTCTGAAAATAGAAACTGACAGTATATCATCCCACAAGCAGTGTGAGCAAAGCTTGGTATTCAGCCTCAGCACTGGATCACACAACGACAATCTGCTTTTTTAATTCTCCAAGTTGCCAGGCCAAAAATATACAGTAGCCAACAATATTAAAATAAGCAACAACGTCAAGATGATCTGATGATGAAAGAGTCTCTTGCCAGGAGCATCCTTCAAATACTTCAATTCAAAACAGGCTCTACTGGCATCACTCACCAGTTTTAATTTGGAGAAAAGGAATTACAAAGCAATGGCAACTTGGAAAGGCTTAAAAAAAGTGGCCACATGTGTCAGGGTGGGAACCGGAGTGTGTGTTGCTATTTTAGAGGTACAAAGTTAAAAAAAGGGACAAGGGCCTCAGATACTCTAGATTTATTAGATTATATACTGAAACAAGAACTATAGATGAAACATGCCGTAATTTATCTGAAACCCCCTAATGACCTACCTGTTTTCCAAAAAAGTAATAGTGTCTTTTAGTAGAGAATTTGGATTAGCAAGGTTCAAACTTCATATAGTATTCATCTACTATCACTATTGACTTCGAGATATTTTTGTGTAATGCTCTGAAACAGCTACTTTTTATCCTGCATAACATGAACGCTTCAAAATGAATCCTCTACTTCTAATTAGATGTTTGTGCGTGTCAACTACCCTCATTTAACCTTCTTATCCTAATAACAAGTCTAAGCATTCTTGAATTGCTTCCATTATGATGCTTGACATTTCCTATAGGGTTACTGAATGTTAGGATCCCTGCCACCAGAATCTATTTCTGCTGGTTTTTCCAAGTGATGCTCTTTATTTTGGAGTGACATACAGCAATAGTAAAATGTTTAGAGTAGAAGCATATCACGATTAGTAATTTTGTGATGCTGTAGCGTATCTATTAGAAAGATAGCAATGCCCATTCCTTATGTATGTCTTGATTCCTAAATAACAGTCATTGTACCTCCTCTCATATTTTAGCTGACTGTCATTTTAGCGAAGATATTTTCTTCGGCTATTGGGTGAGAATCTAGGTGTCTTTCTTTTTGAGTCAAAATGAACTATATTTGTGGTTTAATGACAAAGTCATCCATTACATTTGTCCTATCTTAAGACCTGAAAGATCAAGAGACACATTATGCTGAACCTTGTAATGGCAAAAAATTATAGCCAGAAAAAATTTTGCGCCATCAGAATTGGATGGCATAGCGTTTGGAAAATGCTACTTTAATTATGATATGGATAAATAGTTGAGTTTCAATTTCCAATCGAGATAGGCAAGTGAAATTGTGAGGCTGTGGACTATATAATCTCATCTGTAGTGGGCATAGATGTTCCATATACAGTAATTATTCTTTATATACGCAGCAGCAGGAGTTTCATAGTTTTCAATAATCCCTATGCTATGTGATGGGAATTAATTAATTAGATTTGGAAGTGTTGTTTTGCTTTGACATCATAAGATGGGAAGAGAAACATGCATGAAAAGTACGTATGATGATTTACAGCATGAAATCCTAAATGTTGATCTCAAACATAATTTCTAGTTACTTCAATTTTCAAATTTCATTGTCATACGGATAAGAAATTTCCAGCAATTCCTAAAATTTATGTAGAGCAATATAAAACAATATTGACTTCCCTCCTAAAACTTTGTCACCGGAGGAAGTTGATCTTTACTGATGACATATTCTTCTCTCCATGCAACGTCTTTTGAAAAATTCTGAGCACATGATATAACTTTATCAGAAATCCAGCTCTTTATCATGTGAAACATGAAATCAATACTATGGTCAATATGTTTTTCATTTACAATAAGATTATTGTTCCCCTCTTTGATTTAGCATGGTGGATGCACCTCTTATGCGTATTATTTGAGTTATCTGGTTCTAGTGTTGCCTTGACTGGAGGGGGTGGGGTCATTGGTGAATTTTGGCGCTAATGGGGATAAAATTGTCTTTCATCTTGGAACAAATTGTGGGATAAATGGGGATAAAGTGGTAATATGGGATAATGAGAAACTTTGAATGAGACAATTGATGATGTCATCTTTTAAATTATGATATGTATGAATCAATTAAGTTCAAAATTAACTTATTAGTACATCACATCATGATTAAAATATAATAATAATAATAATAATAATATTTTTAAAATATTGGATAATTTTTGGTCTTTATTTTGCTAATATAAAATGATATATTAGCAATGTTTTGTAATTATTCTAATTATCTAATTATTCTTACATACACTTAAACTATATTAGTTAATTATTTTTATTTTTTATTTAAACTTATATTTTAATTAATATATATTAATTAATAATATATGTTTAAAATATTTTATTTAAATAACTAATAGTATATGTTTAAAATATATTATTTAAATAACTAAGTATAAACTAAAATTAACTTATTTATCGTATTTAAAATAGATTTGTTATTAAATTAGTTTTTTAAGGAGAGCAACCTAGATCAAGATACCGTCATACTTATTACAAATGAAGTCATCAAATAAGATCTTAGTTATTAGAAATATAGTCCAATGGCTAACAACATCGACCTAGAATCCTTGGAATGCAAATGTTTCATCTTGCTACATATTTTCGGCAATTGCTCTCTCCATTGTCGTGCAGCCGTTCGTTGTGTTTGTTGAGTCTGTAAATCACCGTCCTCATCAGAGTCACCATCAAGCGGCAATATTGCGTAGTGCCTTAAAAGAAAGATCAGAAACTTCAAAGTCATCGTTTGAGTTTTTCAACTTCAGAAAGTTGTGCAAATCGATACATGCTTAGACCATATTTTTTTGTGTCTCACATGGGAAAAGTATCTCATATGAAAAACCAGGAGGTTGAGCCTTGAACATAGTGAACCTCGACTTGAAGACACCAAAGATATGTTCGACACAATTTCGAAGAGATGCATGTCAATGGTTGAACAACCTATGCGCATTGCGTGGCCGCTGACATCTGTTAGCTAGGCTGAGCTCTTTAAGGTGGTACTTCATGTCCTGATATGGAGCTAAAAACTATAGCTTATTAGGATAACCACGTTCAACTAGATGAAATTTTCTTACACTAGCATATTATTGTAATTATAATCGACAAAATTCATAAAAAATAAAATCTAACAGCTTGAAAAAAATTATTACCACCTGGTTGTGGAAACTTGCATGCACTTCTATTCATTGCATCCTTCAAGACACGTGAATCATTAGCAAATCCCTCCCGTCCAGCTAAAACATAAATGAACCTGATGTCAAATGTTCACGCCCGCAAGGATATTTTAAGAAGATATCCATGCCTATTACGATATAGGGGATTTGATCTTTGCCATACACCATACATTGAACGTTGTCCCATCAATTGCACCAATATAGTCATGTACATTCCATTAATATATATGCCCCATCAATTTAAACTTTTAATAATAATGGCTAAAGATAAATATAAGGCATTTGAAACTATCATATCTTGAAATAATGTCAAAAACAAGTCCGATGTGACGTTTTATGGTGGATTGGTAGGAGGTGAAGCCATCATACAAGGAGGCCAATGGCAAAGGCTTGGAGTGCCTTATTGAAACATATGCTGACAGCAAATAGTGATCAATCAAATCTCTAAGTAATATTGCAATACCTTTGATTTTGAATGACAATGAGAAGAAAAATAACAATCATTTCCTCGAGGCTGATGTAACGTGTATCTTGTAAATGTCTGCAGCCTCGCAAAGCCATACACAACTTCATGAAACAATTTGGATATATGATATATCCAACAAGGATCA